ATATATATTGAGCGACCTAACCTGGTAAAGCCTGCAATATTCAGCACCTACCAGTCTTTCCTCTTTCCTACCATACCTTCTTCTATCATCCATTCTCAGTTCAGCTATAAAAGAGCCCCATCTCCATCCTGTTCCGTTGAGCCTAAGATTCAATATTTCTCCATTCTATATAAGATCCCTAAATATCCATATTATAATTTTATTTCAGTTATATTTTTGCAGTAAAATATGGATCAAGCCTCAGAGGGCGCTTCAGATAATTCCACAGGTGCGCATTTGTAATTTTAATGTTTGTTTGGGTTGATTTTTGGAGAGATTGTAATTAGATTTGATGATTTATTTATATGAATGATATTTTATGGACATGCAGTACTTTTTTAAGCTAATTTCCTTATTGAATGACCCCCAATATTGTTTAAAATTTAAAATAAAATATAAAAAAATATAATTAGATTTATAAAATTTTAAGAAGAGTTAATTAAGAGGACAAATCTTTGATATGAGAGCTAAATCAAAATGCACATCCAATATTTTTCTCGAAAATGAATCATGGTGTAGATCTTTAGGTCATGATTTTTATTCATATGATTTATTATTGCAACTAAAATTATATTATTACAAAATTTCACATACCTTGTGCACTAAAAATAAATTAGTGTCATAGATTGGAGAAATATTTGCGTACGTAAGACGTACGCAGCGTTGCGTACATTAGGTTATTCAGAGGGTACAGGTCAGAGGGTACAGGTAGGTTACACTTAGGTTATACCCTTGTAATTCTTCATGTAACCTAAATGTAACATATGTGTACCATCCGAATAACTTAATATGTACCCTCTGAATCATTTCCATAGATTGAGATGATTCTTGCTTATATATAATTTTCATTATGAGAAAAGAAATAGTCTTCAATCTTTTCATAACTTTTTTCAAGAAAATTCCACGAAGAAATTATTGTACAAATCGTATTTCAGCGCCGAGAAAAGAAATTTAAAAAAAAAATAAAAAAAAACTAGAAAACATCACCAAGGGTGAATTTGGTTGCCTAAAGTTTGAAATTACATAGTTTTTTTAAAATTTACTATTTTATTAAAGCCGAATTAATTGGCAGTTACTTGAAAAATCTTTTACAGACGACAACAGTATGTTAAACCATATATAACATAACCATGACATCATTCACCAACGCTCCGGAAAATTATCACTATTTCGTCAGAAAGACACAACTCTTCAAATATTGTTACTAATCGTTTGATTTTTATGTTGTTTTGTACGTACGTGTCTATGAGTAATAACACAATATCAACATAGAATAATTTGATACAGAAGGAAAGAGTTCCAACCCTAACTTCACAGAGGAAGAAGACGACCTCATTGCCAGAATGTATAAGCTCGTTGGAGACAGGTTTGCGTTTCGTAGCCATTATGACTCCTAAATCCCTTTATTTAAATAATAATTTTCATTTAAAGATATCTATAATTTTTTCAGATGGTCTCTGATTGCTGGAAGGATCCCAGGAAGAACAAGCGAGGAGATTGAGAATTACTGGAAGTCAAAAAATTCTACCTCGTCTACATAAATTGAAGATGGAAGAAACACACTGTGATTGTTTTATATGCAAAATGCTTGTCATACTAGTGA